AAAATTAGCCATATCTACCAGACGTTCTCTACCTTCTTATGCAAACTATTATATTTCCAACACTTTTGTGTCTATGGATGGGTAGCCTTGTAGAACTAATACACTCTACTCCACTAAGACTTGGAGCTTAAACAGAAATGACCAATATTGACCAAAGGATGAGAAAAATAAAGAAGGAGGGAAGGGGAACCAGGGGCTTAGAAAGGGAACTGAGAAGTGAGCAGAGCCACAGGTGTCTGAACAGACTTGATGGACTGAACAGTATGTCTTGAGTAAAGAGTAGGCTGGCTCTGCTTGGGAAGGGCTTGGCTTTAGAGAGAGGTGCCTGCCACAGTGAGGAAGAAAGGAAGGGATACTGGCCAGACAGCCACATCTACCAAATAGCTTTGTTAGAGATGGGAGGTGGCCAGAGGGATCTGCTAATTTGCTAACTGGATAAGACACAGCGAGTGAGTGGGGAGGGAGCCCAGGCAGAGGAGGTCTGTTAGGGGGACTCCTGGCCAGTCAAGCTTTTAGCCCAACAGGGTTTCCAGTAAGTCTGGGAATAAGGAGAAAGGGTGAGAGAGAGCGGTAAATCAGAGAGCTTAAATATTGCCAGGTGTTTGCCCTGCCAAGTGAGAGAATTTTAACAATGGTTTTTAGGTAAATAAACAATTTGAACCTCGTATGGGGTTCACGTGAGTAATCATCAGACCTTTTAAAGCGATATACACAGTACTCTGATGGAGGCCTGTGTAGTATTAAACAAACTTGGTAAATAGGTTAAAATGTAGCACTCTGTTCTTTAAAAGGATGACATGTCTTTGGAATGTTCCTAATCATGATTTCCAAATTGATGGTGCAAAACTATTTTTTTGCAAAATATATGTAGAAGTCATTTAAGAAGGACCTAAATTATAAATAGAGTAAGTAATGTGCTTTTTGTTTTCAGTGATTTTGATTAAAATTAAATTAAAACATCAATAATTTGCTTTGTTGGTATGGTTTTAAAACTGTAAGTGGCATTGGAAAGTTTCAAACCGGCACAGGGACTTCATGAAGGACCTGTATTTAGTATTACTTTCCTGTTCTGTTACTGTGGACCTAATTATCCCCTGGATAATGATCTAAAAGAATAAAAAGGAAACAAGGCCGACTGGATTCTTTTGAGCTCACTCTTCATGCTTTTTGCCTTTCGTCTTTTGCACATTTTTACAACTTCAAGATAAATGAGGCTTTACAACAACTCAATATTTTGTGCCTAAGTTTTCATTTTCATAGAGTAGGCAGAGTGTCAAATGTTACTGATTCTCATGATGTCAAAATCAGGTTAGACAGACTGTTCTTTTGGTAGCTTTATTCTAATAATAACTTACCAAAATTGTTTCTTACATGCCTTAAACTACTGGCCTTTCATTCTATCTTAAGAGGAACAGCACAATTTAAACATTTTATTTAGTCAGTAGAGTTTTAACCTTTTCATATGTTTATTTTCATAACTAAAATTGGATTACCCTCACAGAAGGTAGTACAAGTAAGTCAATGTTTTCCTAATGTTAGCTGGCAGATTTTTGCCTCAAGAGTAATGTCCTGTAGGCTAACTCAGTAGGTGAATGAGATGGCGTTATGTTTCACGATAAAAACGGAAATAATTGATGTGATGATTACTCACGTAGATTGGGAGAATCTATGCTTTTCCCTTAAAAAGAGTTTCTAAGCATCTATTATTTTTATCGATTTCACAGTACTTCCAATACATAGGTATTCAAACACGTTAAACATATCTGATAAAACCAATTTATGTTTTTATTCAGATTCAAGGGGCAGTTTGGGATCACTGTGCTTTGATATGCGTTTTATTTTAATCACCGATTAGTATTGAACTTTTTTAAAAAATTTAAACAGGCAGTGGATTTTAGGGCTGTAAAACATACTTGGTTTGCTTCCAAAATAAAATTTTTAATTTTTTAAAAAAAGCCAAAGCCCCATCTGCTGTTTTCATTAAAATCCCACGAATTGTTCACATTGCCGAGAGCAGTTCTTTGAATACAATCTGATGCTTAATCAAGCAGTGATATGTGATTTTCAAGGTCACTTTTTGTTAGGACAGAAAGAAAGTCAGGAAGATGAATATTCTCAAATACTTATGAAATTTAAAATTAAATAATGGTTTAAGTGGATATTATTACAGATCTTTAAATATCAAAAATTTACATCATTTTTCTGCTTCTTAAGAATTAGAAACTGAAACAAATATAGATCTATTTTTTTGAAAAAATGAATTCTTATGGAATAAAATTTTAAAAAAGATGTTCCTATTTGGCTTCTGAGGCATTTATTCATTTGATGGGGAGGGAATAGTGGATTTACTTTCCTGTGTTTTGGTTAGCCTAAAAAAAAATTTGCACCTCCTTAATATTTGAGAGGCTAGTAGAAGGATGGATGTCAAGAAGCATGATGGAATGGACTATGAGATAACAGTATGGACCTGAAAATAGTTAAAAAAAAATGTGCATGGATAATGAATACCCAGCTATATAAATGATAGTACAATAATAAAAACTTGACTTTTAGAAAGTCAATTTAACCAGGACTCCAAGTCATACTTCTGGAGCTTCATTAGCTCCTCCTCATCAGGATGAACATCCATATACCTCATTGTGGCATACAGGGTCCATTATCTGCCGTTGCCTTTTTCTCCGGCTTCCTCTCTGACTGCTGCCGCATCTGAACCTGATTCTTCAGTCATAACTAAACTCTTCTGGAGTTTTGAAACATGCCATGAGCCCTCAAGCTGTGCTGCCTTTGCCCTATTGTTCGCTTTACCTGGCATACGCTCTCCTGGCCACTGGGCCACACGCTTCTCTTCTACCCTTCCCTCCAGCCCCAGGCAGCTAGGTGCCTTTCTTTGTCCTCTCATGGCATGCTCCAGATTTTTGTTATTACATGATGTTTCCCCATAACACTGAAATTCTTGTGAGCTAGAACTTGGGTTGTGGCTTCCTCATCTCTATTCCCAGGACTCGGCATGTGGTAGGTGCTCCCTGGTAATATGGGAATGAACCAGCAGAGCACACATCCTGCTTTTCTATTTCAGCAGAAAATGCTGCAGTCCTTCTTCCTGTCCGCCAGAGAGTGCTGAGCAAAGAATGCCCTTTTGAAAAATCAAAGCTATCAGATACTACTTGCAGGGCAGTATGAAGTGTGGGGACTTAAGATAAATCAGGATTACTTATTTCCATCTTTGAAGTTAAATTAAACTGTTAGGCCAAGCCAGTGATGACTTCCCTGACCCCTGAGCATAGCTGTATAGATGTGACTTTCCTGATCTTTTATGAGTGAAAATCTTAGATTGTTTCTATACTTCGGTGGCTCCCACAGTTATATACAGTTCCAACTGGAATTGATTTTTTTACAAACAAATTAGTTCTTGAATTTGTATTCTGCTCGTTCAATAGTGTTAAATTTACACAAAACATTTGAAACGTTTTATTCTCAGTTATCTAATAAGAATCCAATAAACCTCAACCAGAAAAGTACAAGCCAAAAAACTAATCATCTAACCAAATGTAATTTCACTTGAGGAACCTAAATGTACTGTGGAAACAGCCTTCTTTAATCCATTAAAATGAAAGCATGAAGATTTTCTCTTCTTTAAAAAAATTTTTTTATATATGCTTTCCAGTTACTTTAGCCCACAAAAGGATCTCTACTTTCTATTTCCTATAAAACTATTTTCTGTACCATGCACTTGTCACCTGTCGTGCACGGCTTTGCCCTGTCATTTAATCCAATAAGTGACATGTTGAGGAAATTAGGATCCATGTTTTAATCTTCTCATGTTTCCTTTTCAGTACCTAGCCCGTTGCTTTGTTGTTAGGAGGTGCTCAATAAATATGGACTGGCTAAATGAATGCATCTCGAGTTCTTTATGTGAGGACTTTTTGGACCTCTTGTAGCTCCCATCTGCTCCTCTCTCAGTCTCTTTGCCTTCATTCAGCCTGCTTCACAGCCAGATCCCTAGTATGGTGAGCCTTAACCCCTCCCCAAGCTTCCCTTGCTGCTGTTTCCTCTCTTCTATAGAGTCAGTTCTATGCTGCTGCCTCAAGAGTTGCCGTCTCCCCAAATCCTCCACAGGACACCAAGCTTTATTGTTCTCTGCTTCTATTCTGTGATGAAGGAGGAAGGTAAACATTTCTAATAAAGCAGTTTTAAATGTTTAACAAGGTATTTAATTGTGTGCACCTTTGCATCTAACTGCTCAAGGTAAAGCAAAGCTGATATTTTCCAGATTCTTTAATTACCGTTTGCATTTTTTTCCCCCTACTTTCTAGCAGTTTTTCTACTGGCTAGATCACAAAGTAACCAAGACTGTGTTGATTAGTTATTGGGAATTGAGAGAAATTGATTTTAGTTCAATTCAACATTTTTGGAATAGCTATTGTGTACAAAAACCATAGGTGTTATGGGAAATTCAAAAGTGAACCAGGTGAAAAAGCTTGTGTTCTGGAGAAGGGAGGGCTGACATATGCCCAACAATTACAGTGTTTGTCAAATGTGGTAAGTACATAATAATAGAAGTATAAGTCCTGTTCTATGAGAAAGACAAGAGGGAAGTAGGTTTAGAGTTAAAAGATTAAGAAAGTCTTCATGAAGGACTTGGTCTTGGAGGAGGAAGGCAGAAAGAGCACTGTGGGTATAGCTTTATTCATTTGTTTCCAAATTATTATTCTAGTAAAATTGTCTCTAAAGATCTTCTTTTACTTATAAAAAAGTCCTGTTAGAAGACTACCACACTTTTATTTACTAGATAATTGATATATTGTTTGTTTCTTGATTAATAATGACCTTGCCTTCTGGTATTAGTTTCTTGACATAGCTCTTTAAATTAGTGTAATGCATTAAGTGATAAACATGCTTAATAAAAAATTAGATAATAATAAAAGATGACTAGCTTCTATAGGCTATGCAGTACTTCTAATGCTATTTAATATATGCTTTATTTTATCCATGCTTTTTAGGCAGTTTGGATTTTAAAGGCACGAGCACTAACTGAAATGGTATACGTAGATGAAATTGATGTAGATCAGGAAGGAATTGCAGAAATGATGTTGGATGAAAATGCTATTGCTCAAGTTCCACGTGAGTATTGGTTTTTCAGTTAAGTGAAATGCCATTAGGAGGAGGAATACTATATATATGTATAAAATAAACACAAGACGTTATATACATGAAACATGTATATACATGGAAAAACATTACCTCAAGTAAGTGGTCTCTATTCTGCCTTATAGTACAAAGGCTTTCCTTCCACAATTCAATTATATTGTCTTAAAGTGTGAGATTGATGTATAACAGTTTTTCAATAAAAGCTATATTATGCATTTTTAAATATTTTATAAAATGCATTCTGTCTGAACTGCTTATCTAATATATCAGAAGATTGTTTATCTGAGAGTCTAAACACAGGAAACATCCAAACAACAGAAGTGTTCTAAAAGGACTAAAAAAAACCTGATCATTTAGAAACATTACTTCCTTGTAATAATTGAAGATGATTTGCTCTAATGCATAATGTAAGATAAAAGCTTCAAATGGAAATTGAGAAAAAAATACATGTTTCCTGTTAAAATGTGTTTTTCTCCATCATTTTGCTCTTTTGGAGTTAAAATATCTAAATTCTAGATATTATGTGTAAATTATCTTTTATTGCAGGAAGAGATGTGTATGAAAAATAAACTATGAATATAGAACCATCATTTTGGTGCTTTGGAGCCTCCTAGTCTTTTTTTTTTTTTTTTAATTGAGGAATTGACATATAACATTTTATTAGTTTCAGGTGTACAATGTAATGATTCACTATTTGTATATATTGCAAAATGATCACTACACTTGTGGTGGTCCATCACCACACATAGTTACAAACTTTTTTTTCTTGTGATTAGTACTTTTTACTTTTTTTTTTTTTTTTTGAGGAAGATCAGCCCTGAGCTAACATCCATGCTAATCCTCCTCTTTTTGCTGAGGAAGACTGGCTCTGAGCTAACATCTATTGCCAATCCTCCTCCGTTTTTCTGCAAAGCCCCAGTAGATAGTTGTATGTCATAGTTGCATATCCTTCTAGTTGCTGTATGTGGGACCCGGCCTCAGCATGGCCGGAGAAGTGGTGCATCGGTGGCCGCCCGGGATCCCAACCCGGGCCGCCAGTAACGGAGCGCGTGCACTTAACCGCTAAGCCATGGGGCTGGCCCCGTGATTAGTACTTTTAAGATCTATGCTCTTGGGGCTGGCCCGGTGGCACAAGCAGTTAAGTGCGCGCGCTCTGCTGCGGCGGCCCCGGGGTTCGCCGGTTCGGATCCCGGGTGCGCACCGACGCACCGCTTGTCAGGTCATGCTGTGGCGGCATCCCATATAAAGTAGAGGAAGATGGGCATGGATGTTAGCCCAGGGCCAGTCTTCGTCAGCAAAAAAAGAGGAGGATTGGCAGATGTTAGCTCAGGGCCAATCTTCCTCACACACAAAAAAAGATCTATGCTCCTAGTAACTTTTGAATATGCAATACAGTGTTATTAACTATAGTCACCATGCTGTGTATTACATCCCCAGGATTTATTTATTGTATAACTGGAAATTTGTACCTTTTGAACTCCTTCACCCATTTCTCCCACCCCCCCACCTCTGGCAACCACCAATCTGTTCTCTGTATCTGTGAGCTTGGTTGTTATTGTTGTTGTTTTTTATATTCCACATATAAGTGAGATTATACAGGATTTGTCTTTCTCTGTCTGACTTATTTTATTTAGCATAATGCCCTGGAGGTCTATTCATGTTGTCACAGATGGCAAGATTTCATTTGTTTTTATAGCTGAGTAATATTCTATTATATATACACACCACATTTTCTTTATCCATTCATCCATTGTTGGGCGCTTAGGTTGTTTCCATGTCTTGGGTATTGTAAATAATGCTGCAGTGAACATGAGGGTGCGTATATCTTTTTGAATTAGTATTCTCATTTTCTTTAAATAAATTGGAGCCTGCTAGTCTTGAGTTTGAATCCCAGCTCTACTAACAGGTTGACTTGTTTACTTAACTCTCTAAGCCTTTGCTAAATGGCTTGATATTACCTACCATAGAGACTTAGTGTGAAGATTAAATGTGGTAACATAAAGTAACCTGATAGGTACTCAATAAATATTAGTCTCAAACACGTTTCCCATTTATAAAATATATTTCCTATTATGAATATCTTTCTCACATTCTGAAAATTATGTTAACTGATGATTTTTACAGATGAATAAATACTATGTAAATTGAATTTGGCATCTCATCTCATAGGCCCTGGAACATCTTTGAAACTCCCTGGACCTAATCAGACGGGAGGGCCTAGTCCAGCTGTCAGGTATGTACTTCTATTTCATATCCTCTGCTGCTAAATATTGACCAGACTATATGAGAAGCTTCCTGTATTGATTTTCTTTGTATTTTAACAATTTACAATCTTCACAGGCCAGTCACTCAAGCTGGAAGACCCATTACAGGTTTCCTTAGACCCAGCACACAAAGTGCAAGGCCAGGCACTATGGAGCAGGCCATCAGAACACCCAGAACCACCTACACAGCTCGCCCCATCACCAGCTCGTCTGGAAGATTTGTCAGGCGGGGAACGGTAAATTCTGTTAGTTTTATCATACCCTTGTATTACCAATGTAACTTTACGTTTGTTACATTATTTTTCACTATTGTTATAGTGCAGAATTATATGGAAGAGTTTTGAGGGTGATTTTTTTTTTTTTTTACTTATGTTGCCTTTATAATTTTTATGGACATTAAACTCAATTTATGTTTCAAGCGAGTTTCAGATTTCTTGTTCTATCATTTTTCCCCATAGGCTTCCATGCTTACAAGTCCTGATGGACCTTTTATAAATTTATCTAGACTGAATTTAACAAAATATGCCCAGAAACCTAAATTGGCAAAGGTATGTACTTAAAATTATTTTATGTTATGAAGTAATGTTAGAAGTATTATCATAATAACATTGTAGGGAATGCATAAAAATTTGTGAAGGAAAGGCCATGTGTTGATTGCAATGGAAGTGTTTAATTACTCTAATATGTAATATTTCTCTTGGTCTTGAGTTAAGGAAAGTCAATCAGAAAGAAAGTATATAAACTATTATTATAGAAAATTCTTTTTCTCCTGATAAAGAACAGTAATTTATAAGAGAGAGAGTACATAATTTATAACAGAGAGAGAGAGAGAGGG